CCCGAGACGCCTGAGCCTTGGGGGCATCAGTGCCTCACCAGGCCGGGGGCATTGGCCGGCCTGTGCTGTGTGCCGGTGGCTGGGTGAAGTTTCTGGCCAGGGAGGGACAGCTAACTCCTTGGGTCCGCTTTGCAGCTGTGCCCTGGGGGGTGGAGAGAAGACGGACCCACGGAGACATGGGTAATGGGCAGGTGGGTAATGTCAGCTGCCGGCCCGATAGATTTTCATCCTCAGTTCCTCAGACTGCCTCCCCTTTGAGAAGAGGTGTTCCAGGGACCGGGCCTGGCAGAGTTTGGGCTCATGGCAGATGCTGGCCCCCCGGGCACACAGGACACTGCAGTCACGGGGTCCGCCTCACACCTGAGCTCTGCAGTCAGGAGGTCGGGTTTCCTCTTTCTCCAGGGAGTTGGCAACCGATGCCCGTTTTTATTCAACCAGCTAACTGGTGTGAAGAATCTCTTGCCCATTATCCTGGTCAGCTGTGAACTTCTCCACGGAGAGACACACAGACATGCTGCGGTCCCAGAGCTGGGGACAAACTGCAACCGAGGTACACGCCCTTAGCGGGAACCGAACCTGGGACTCTCTGGTCCATGGGCCAACGCTCTAACCACTGAGCCAAACCGGCCAGGGCTGGATAGGGCTTTTAAAAGAGGATTTTACTTTTCAGCTTTTGAGATGCACACATGGAGAGCCAGAGAACTGTGCCCCTTCCTGAGCCACGGAGAGTTGGAGGCTTGGAGACAGGCGGGCCTGACCCACGTCCTCTCTCTGGGGCCCACAGCCCTGCTCTGCTCGCTGCCTCCTCGGGACCGGGGCGTGTGGTCTGAGGAGCCAGCCTCATGCAGGGACGGCTGGAGGGCACGGTCTGTCCGATGCCAGGCCTGCCTTCCCTCTACTCCCCGGCCAGGCTCCGATCTGACGGAAGCCCACCCAGAGCTCCCTGGCGTGAGGATCCACATTAGTTCTCAGGAGCTGCGCATGGGAAGGTGCCCACCCCTGGACACCTGTGTCCCCAGCTCTCCTCCCAGGCCCTGGCCGTTGCCTGCTAGTGTCTTCATTACAGGCCTCCTTGCGTCATTCCAGTGTGGCCACGTTTTCCATCCAGGAGAGCAACCTCCGGTCTCCTCCGCGTCGTCTGTGGGCGGTGCCTCCCGGCTGGCACCGCGGAGGCCATGGCACCTCCCAGCCTCCTCCTTTCCAGCCTGGTGCGGGCAGTGGGGGCGAGGAGCCCTCCACAGGGAGCGGAGAGGGTCACCGCTGCGGGTCCTCCAGAGAAAGGCGTGAGTCCCGGTCGGTCAATGTGTGAACTCACCTGTAAGCCCCCAGTACTAATTGAACACCTAGTGTGCGCCGGGCCCCGTGGGAGCTGCTGGACAAGGCAGGGGGTGTCCCTTCCTCATGGAGCTCACACTCTGGGGGTGACGGGCCCCAGACCTGGGAGGAGAGAAAGAAGTAGTCAGGTAGCAATTGTCCCATGATTGAACCATACGTGGGGTGAGGGGGCGGGGCGTGCCCCGGAGGGAGCACACCCTTCCAGCGCCCTTCCTGTGCCCAGCAGGCATGGCCGAGGTCCTCTCCCTAGGTTTCAGCAGCGGAAGGGTCCCTGGCACTGTTGGTGGGCACCTGCCTTTGTCCTGCAGTGATGGGGAGAAGAGGCTCCGCACCCGCTGTGCTTCCTGTCACCGAGGTCACAGGAGGGGAGCCTTGCAGGCCACGCGCTGAGTCGAATCTGCGTAGGGCCTGGGGCTCTGCAGAGTGGCTCTGGGGGTTGGGCCCGGCTGTGGTCCCTCCAGGTCACATCCTGCCCGTCCCTTTGCCCCTCTGAGTCCGGGTGCTCAGAGCTGTGCTTTTCCAGCTCCCAGGACCCCTGTGCCACCGAATCTAATTTGTTGTCCCTTGTCCACCACAGTCCGGGTCCCCCTCTTCTGCTGTGCGTGTCTCCGGCCAGCTGGGAGGAGCAGGGACAATGCCACCCTTCCCCAGGGAATGCTCGACTACAAAGTAAACAGAACGGAATGATTCCTGAAATATTAGTGGTTTGTGTTTCAGACACTGTAGTATTTTTCAAATGAGGGTGGATTCTATAAATCACTTTTGGCTGAAGATGCTAGTTTAAGACATAATTGTGAAATTTACTTTTATGGCCTGTCCTTAACTGTCTTATTATATAGTCCCTAAATATACATAATTTTCTGCATCTTCATTCATCATTTGTCAAAAAGTAATGGTGGGTTTTTTTTGTTGTTATTATAAAAGGAAGAGATGAGTCAGGCCCTTCAGAAACTTCGGGTCAGAGCAACATTTTAAATCTAAAGGAGAAATCTTTCATTTCTTTCCGAATCAGAGCTAATTCGTCCCCTTTGCGACCATGATAGAGAAGATGAAAGGGCTCCTCAGGAGGGAAAGGGTGGGGGCTCTCAGTCACCCCGTGGGGATGACACAGATGTTGGCACTAAAGGTTTCATTGCTGTGAGCACGTGGCTGTCGTCTTTCCCATCTCGGGTCTGCAGGGTGCTCGCTCGCCAGGCTCCCTCCTGTGACGGCTCGAGAAACGTGCGACCTCTCTGAAACGCCTGCCCCTCCCGACGGTCCTGCCCTTAGGAGGTCCCCGAGGAGAGGGCCCCGGATGTAGATCAAAGTGGGGCTGGCTCTCTGACGCAGGAGGTGGTCCCCTGTATCACCTGGGCACTCATGGGTTAAAGTAGATGGCCCCCAAATAGTCCCCGGACACCGACGACGCACTCAGAATCTCTGCTTTTATGGGCATTGGCAGCAAATCTGGGCTGGAGGAAAACAATCTGCTGATCTAGGTCATGGAGCCGTCAGTCGGCCAGGCTTGCAAAGCCGCGTCCTCTCCTCCTCGACGGAGGTGGGATTGCAGGGCTCCGGGCGGGACCTGCTTTGGCTCTGAGAATATTCAGAGGAGGCTGTTCAGGACCTGCAGAGGCGAAGGCACACACCCAGCTGCCCCTGAAATAAGGGGGTACACATAGGTATGTGTATGTAGGTGTGCGTGAAGGAAACAGAGATGAGAATCGCTATCCTTTATCTTCTATCATTTGTCTATTTATCTACCAATCATTTGTCTACCTACCTACCATCTGTCTATGTATATGTATCTATGTATGTGTCTATTGATCATCTATTATCTATCTATCTATCATCTATCTATCTATCTATCTATCTATCTATCTATCTATCTATCTATCTATCTATCTATATCTATCTATCTATCTATCTATCATCTATCTATCATCTATTTATCATCTATCTATCTATCTATCTATCTATCTATCTATCTATCTATCATCTCTCTATCATCTATCTGTCTATCATCTATCTATCACAGAGACAGAGAGCAGAGCAAGCAGGAGAGAGCAACCAGCCTCATTTCTCAGTGATCCCAGTGTCCTGCGCCTCTGTGCTGCCTGGACATCATCATTCCGAGTCACTGAGAAAGCAAGTGATCGAAGGGACCACACGTAGGTTAAATGATGCACTTCGGCTGCCTGGTAACAAAGTCAGGGTTGGAGCCCTGTCCCTGCTCCCCCTCTGGGCCTTCTATCCTGCCTCAGTGTCCCTGATTGTCCCATCATCCCCCTGGGTGTGCTCCTCACAGTGCCAGGCTCCAGGTGCAAGCCCAGGTGGCAGTGAGGCTCTTGGGCCAGATGCCAACTGGTGGGTCCTGTCCCCAGCTGTGCTCGAGCTAACTGCAGCTCTTATCTGTCGCTTCATCTATAGACCAAGTGGCTGGACCTCCACTCAGACTGCGTCTCAGAACCACCCGAGAGCCTTGTAGAAACGTGGCTGTCTGGCCCCCCCTTGGTGACACCTTATCCACTTGGTCTTGCTCTCAGGAGCCTTTCCCACTATGGCTGTGCAAAGAGGGAGCCCCAAGTCCGCCATGGGCCCCCTGAAAAAACTAGGGTGCCTTTGTTGACTCTGATGATGAGCTTTCATGGACTGAGGAGTGGTAAAGATTCTTCCCTTCCGTGGCCAGAGCACTTGATGTATTTATTTGATTTTAGTATTGGGTGAGAAGCGAGCTGCTCGCACAGAGGGCCATCAGCTCATGTGTTCACTTCAGTTTGGTATCGTGTTTCCCACCATCATTACTGTGGATTAGTCCCGTCTTTCTGCCGTAGCAAGCACTTTGCTAAGACCACGTTGCTGGAGCAAACATGTTGAGACTTTTGAAAGTTCAGCCTAGTTGTGAAGGTCAAATGGTGTCATCCATTTTCAACAGTGATCGAAACAGAAGCCGTAATGCGATAAGCAGATCTCGTCGGCCATAGAGTGTACACTGAGGCTCAGGGGCTTTCAGAGCTGTTGTGACTCTCGGCTACCCCCAGGCCACTCTCTGTAGCGCTACTGAAACTGCATCCTGCCCGGTGTGGCTCAGTGGCTGAGCGTCAGCCCATGCACCAGGAGGTCGCCGGTTCGATTCCTGGTCAGGGCACATGCCCAGGTTGTGGGCCAAATCCCAGTGGGGGGGGTGCAGGAGGCGGCCAATCCATGTTCTCTCTCATTGATGTTCCTATCTCTCTCCCTTTCCCTTCCTTTCTCTAAAATCAATAAAGAAAAGAAAATAAATAAATAAGCTGCCTCCCCATGATGCTCTGGGCTCTCTTCAGATGGCAGAGGCTGCATCTCCATGGACACCAGGAGACAGGGACCGCCCAGCTGATAGTTTAACACTGTGTGTAAAACGTGAGCACGAGACACAGACAACCGCGTGCAGAAAACGTCTGAGGTGCTGAGACAGCGTCCTCGAGTTTCATTGTCCCACGCAGGTGTAGAGGACATGAGCTGGGAGACGGCCGATTCGGACGAGGGTCAGGACGCGTGCTCCGGACTTTAGTTGGCAGGCGCCGTCAAGCTGGGGGTGCTGCCCGCGGTGCACGGGGGTGAGGGTGGGGGTGGAGGTGCCTTCTCGAGCCCCGCCTTCCTGCTTGCTTCCGCCGGTGATGGCTTGTGTCTGTGTCTCCTTGCTGCAGATGGGCAGAAGAAGGTTCAAGAGGACTTTGACATCGACATGGACGCGCCAGAGACAGAACGTGCAGCTGTGGCCATTCAGTCCCAGTTCAGAAAATTCCAGAAGAAGAAGGCTGGGTCCCAGTCCTAGCAGGAGAGCCCCCTCCCAGTCTGCCGGAAGTCACCGCCTTCACCCATCACCAGTCAAGAAATTAAAGAAAACAGCCTAGAGAGAAATCATCCGCACACACGCGCACAGCAGTCCCACAATGCATGTACAGAGACCCCGACCCCCCTGCCCTGTAGGACGGCGGACCAATGCCGCTGCCAGGCGTTCTCTCTCTCCGTGTTCATCTCCAGTACCGTAATAAAGTGGAATTAAGATGCGTGATTCAGGCGTCTCTCCCTTTCTATGGATCTGGGACATTCCCACTGCTAAAAGAATTGCAAACCAGGTGTCTGTTTTCTCCTTCCCTGAAGGTTCGAGCTGAGACACGGTGCCTCTCTTAGAGCTGTTCTGCTGAGGACCAGAGACCACTCAGCCTGCCCGGCTCGCGGGGAGGGTTCTGACTGCCCACGGGCAAGCCATACATTTTCTTCTTAGGATGGGGATGGAGCCCTGTACCCAGGGTTGCCACAGAGGCAGAAGTTTTGCTGGGGAATTATGACTCATCCAGGAGGATGGGGCGGGGGAGGATGCATCTACGTTTGGCAGGTGTCCCTCAGGTTAGCTCAGCAGGCACGTTTCCGAACTCCAGATGGGATGCCCCAGGGATGAGGGTCATTCTGCCACTCACCTGCAGTGCTGCTCCTGCAGGCTGCAGGGGAGGAGGTTCCCTGGTCTCCCCACCTCTCTGAGCTCCTCACACTGTGATTCGCTACCTGTTAGGGTTATTTACAACAGCCCACAACTTGGAGAAGCTCTCTGGCTTCTCTCCCACCCCATCTCTTCCCCGGCACACCTCACAGGCAAGTAGCTTTGCACACCTCACCTCCAAGGGCTCCGCAGGCTGCCAGGAAGGTCCATCGTGTAGGAAGGACAGAGTCAAGAGCCAGGGGTTGGGTGATGCTTGCCTAGGGGCCCCAGGGGGCAAGATCCCCCATCCCCTGCACCTGGCTATTGTTCGAACTTTGTCACTTGAGGACCTGTGTGGAAGTTGCATCTCGTCCTCAGCACCCCGACAGGCTCCACCACAACACAATATACCTTCGTGGGCATCCGATTGGTTCCCTTTGGAAGCTCCTTATCCAATGGTCAGGTGGAGTGTGAACAAGATTAAAATAGGAGGGATAGTACTGTGTGTGTGTGCATGGGGGTGCAGGTGTATGTGTGTGCCTGGGGTGCTGGTGTGTGCGTGCCTGGGGGTGTAGGTGTCTGTGTGTGTATGCCTGGGGGTGCAGGTGTATGTGTGTGCCTGGGGTGCTGGTGTGTGTGTGCGCCTGGAGGTGCTGGTGTGTGTGTGCATGGGGGTGCAGGTGTATGTGTGTGCCTGGGGTGCTGGTGTGTGTGTGCGCCTGGAGGTGCTGGTGTGTGTGTGCATGGGGGTGCAGGTGTATGTGTGTGCCTGGGGTGCTGGTGTGTGTGTGTATGCCTGGGGGTGCAGGTGTGTGTGTGTGCGCCTGGGGGTGCAGGTGTGTGTGTGTATGCCTGGGGGTGCAGGTATGTGTGTGTGTGTGTGCCTGGGGGTACAGGGGTGTGCGCGCGCCTGGGAGTGTAGGTGTGCGTGTGTATGCCTGGGGGTGCAGGTGTGTGTGTGCGCCTGGAGGTGCAGGTGTGTGTGTGTGTGCCTGGGGGTGCAGGTGTGTGTGTGTGTGCCTGGGGGTGCAGGTGTGTGTGTGTGTGCGCGCCTGAGGGTGTAGGTGTGTGTGTGTGCCTGAGGGTGCAGGTGTATGTGTGTGTATGTGTGTGTGCGCCTGGGGGGTGTAGGTGTGTGTGTGTGTGTGTGTGTGCGTGCGCCTGGGGGTGCAGGTGTGTGTGTGCCTGAGGGTGCAGGTGTGTGTGTGTGTGTGTGCGTGCGCCTGGGGGTGCAGGTGTGTGTGTGTGTATGTGTGTGTGCGCCTGGGGGGTGCAGGTGTGTGTGTGTGTGTGCCTGGGGGTGCAGGGGTGTGTGTGTGTGTGTGTGCCTGGGGGTGCAGGTGTGTGTGTGTGTGCGCCTGGGGGTGTAGGTGTATGTGTGTGTGCCTGGGGGTACAGGGGTGTGTGTGTGTGTGTGCCTGGGGGTGTAGGTGTATGTGTGTGTGCCTGGGGGTACAGGGGTGTGTGTGTGTGTGTGCCTGGGGGTGCTGGTATGAGGCGTGGGGAAGTGATGAGCAGCGTGAAGTTCATGACTGGGTTGGAGGCAGAGCCCTGGTTGCCGTCACCAGGGCACAGATGGAGAAAGACGGGCACGCTCAGGGGGATTAACTGGTCTGAAAAATCCATCTGAAAATGTGTTTATTGTTTAATGTAAGGAGGTTTCTCCTACTGGACAATTCTGTTAGGGATGGGGTGGGGTGGGGCACAAGCTCTGGGTTTTCATTAGAGAAACACTGAATAGCATTGCTGCGGCGCCAGGGTCCAGACAGGGCTCCCTTTGTACCCGGTGGCCTCAGTCCCCTGGAAAGGGAACAGCAGGTGGAGGGGACACGCCACTGAAAGCTTCCTGAGATGGGTGGGGGCACAGATGCCACATAAACTAGAAGGGTTGTGACGTGGTCTTTGGAGTTTGCTAAAGTACCACGGAGGGAAAGGAAGCCAGGAACAAAGCAAGTGCTTACATAACTCAGATGCGTTCCCTCCACACCCTGTGTCCCCAGCACCCCCATTGTTTCCTCATCCTCTGCATATTTCAGAGAGGAAGCAGGGCGCCCCTCCCGGGTGTGTCTGGCCCTGGGGCCGGGTCCCCTCCTGCTCCCACCTGTCTGGAAGCAGATCTGGATTCGTAGTGAGGTTGCTCCCCCTAGAGGGGCTCTTCATGCAGAGGAGGAAATCCCAGGAGTAGTTCTCCACTGTTCCCAAGGGACAGGAAGCACATCTCAGCAGTAACGCCCGCGGTACAGAAGGAGAGGGTGAGGGCTGCGATGGTTGGAGAAGCCCCTCAATGGTTCTGATGCACGTCCTTGTCCCCATCACAGGTCAAGGGTACCTCTGATGTCCTTTGAGCCACAGGAATGAATTTAACGTTTTGCGTCTCGGCTGGATCCACGAGAGTGTGGAACTCCAGCTAACAGCAAGGGGAAGCCTGTAACTGCCTCCTCTGCCTGGGCAGAGCCTGCCGAGCCTCCGGCCTGGTAGACCCAGAGGAAGGGGGCGTGGCTTAGGCTCCAGGCTCCAGAGGGCCCTGGGGTTCCCACGGGCTGCAGTGTTCATCCTGGAGGGAAGGAGGGGACGATCCCAGGGTGCGCTCGAACAGCTTGGAGCTTCACTAACTCAGTTTTGTTTCACATATTTATCAAATGCCCACCGCGTGTATGTGCTTGGTGCCGTGGCCACCCCCCAGCAAGGTGCTGGCAGGCTGGTGGCGAGGGGCCCAGATAAACAGACACTACAATGGAGAGATTCATGCTGCGGTAGAACAGGCTGCGCCAGGCTTGGAGAATCACCCAGTCCGCCTGAGGTACCGCCACCCTCTGCCAGCAGTCAGAAAGGTGACAGTTACCGGGTGAACAAGGCGGGTGGCTGGTGGTGGAGAAGTATGAGCAAGGCCCAGCGAAGGAGGCTCTCAGACTTGTAGACCCAGAGGCACAATTCCTTAGACTGTCCCAGCTGGGCCGATGTGGCTCTGCAAACCCAACTTGGGCGGGGAGGACCCTAACACTTGAGACTTGGAATAGCTCCATCCTTGGCTTACAGGTCAGTCAGCCAGGACACTGCAGAGTTACCTGTCTTGAGCAGCTAGTCTCCTCACCATTGAAGTGATGATGAAATCTACTCGGCAGATGGATGGAAAATGCTAGGAATTAAAATGAGATTAAAGGCCTGAGTGCCGGGCTCCGTGTAGATGTCTGATGGGAGCCGTTGGTAATGGTAGACCCACGTGAGAAAGAGCCAGCCAGGCATTGCCTCCATCACCAGCACCCTTTTCCCGACTCAACCCAGCCGAGTTCCTGCGACTCTGCTTCCCTTGGGTAAAGCCTGTGGGTTAGTGGTGGAAACCTGACCCGGGGGTGAGCTCGGCCCATCTGAATTCTTTCTTGTGAGTCTGGACTAACGGTCATGAGAAATGAACCACCTGATGGCAAGAAGTTGCTGGATTGGGGCCAAAGCTGGTATTGCGGCAAAACAAACTTTTTTAAAATTTTTATTTTTTGCAGGAAGTTGCAAAAGCCCATTTGGAGATTTGGAGAGAGACACAGGAGAATGTATGAGAGGATTTGAGTTCCTATATATGTGGGCCCATAAGAGAGAGAGGGTGGCCTAGGCTGAATTAGTCTTTTGGTTGCAATGAGCAGAAACCCACACACATGAGCCAAAAAAAGAATTATTCAGGTCTCACAGACATCTAAGACACCCCTCCCCCCAAAATTGAATATCATGGGCAGACAGAATTACATTAAATATATGAATAAATTGGGGCACAGTGGGGGAAAGTTGATCTCTTTCTATTACTGTCTTTATAGCATGATATGATTTTCAGTAAGGTTTTCTAATTTTCTTCATGCAGGTCTTTTTGTTCTATTTCTTAGTATTTTATGGTTTTATTGTCCTTCTAAATTGAGTCTTTCTCCAAATCATTCTTTAGTTAGTTTTTCTGTTATCTAGGAAAACTGCTGTTATCTGCTTAACTCTGTAACTACTCACCTTTCTGAACTGCACACGATCTGATCACCTTTTGGTGGATTGTTTCGGATTTCCTGGTAGACTGTCCTATTACTTCCAAATAACAATAATTTTGTGTCTTTTCTTTTACTATTGTTCCCTTTTTTTTGTTCTTGTCTTATCTTTCTTACAGTCTATCCCTGGTTCTGAGGGAGACTTAGGGATTGTTTCAGTCTAAAGTGACAGTGGCAGACCATCTCACGGAAATGGTCATTTTCTTTCTTTCTTTTTTTTCTTTGTGGATTTTTAGAGGGAGAGGAAGGGAGAGCGAGCGAGAGAGAGAACCATCGATGAGAGAGAATATGGATTGGCTGCCTCCTGCATGCCCCTCACCGGGGTTCAGGCCCACAACCTGGGCATGTTTCCTAACCAGGAATTGAACCAGCGAGGTTCTGAGGGAGACTTAGGGATTGTTTCAGTCTAAAGTGACAGTGGCAGACCATCTCACAGAAATGGTCATTTTCTTTCTTTCTTTTTTTTCTTTGTGGATTTTTAGAGGGAGAGGAAGGGAGAGCGAGCGAGAGAGAGAACCATCGATGAGAGAGAATATAGATTGGCTGCCTCCTGCATGCCCCTCACC